CATTTGAATCTCTCCTGGGCAGCCACACAAGCTCACCGGGAACACTGGAGTCTCCAGGAATCAACTTGAATCTCTCTGACTATTGAAATCAATCCTGGTGACTTTAATAGGATATTTTAAGAAGATGACATAACCTCATGTTGTGGGGGTGGGGAGGGAATCTCTTGGACTAGCTTTCATCTCAAAGCTGGCAACCCTAAATAACAGTCACGAATTGATCCTGTTCTGGACTCCATGAAAAAGGCTGAATAAGCCACTGAAGACATGGAAGCGCACTTCGTTTCATGGTATATCTGAAAGGCTATTGAAATTGCCAAGAAGATTGTCTGAGACCTGTTGATAACCCCTCTAATTGTTAGAATTTGTTCAAACAGGACATTTAGGACAAAATTATAAAGGGCAGGCCTGCTTCAGAGGACACCAAAACAGACTGTTGATTCATGCACAGAAATGAGGATCCAGCTGTACGGGCTGAGGCAGGAAATACAGCCGGGCAACAATACACTAGCAATAATCTTATTTACTACATATGGTTTTTGACTTGTTAAATAAGTTGCCCTAACCATGCCTCAGTCATTGCTGAATACCATGCCCCCCTACCTCAGAAAAGGCCATGCCTGGGTCTAAATGGTGACTCTGCATTTGAAAAATTTGGGGTAAATCAAGTGGTGCAACGTCACCAGTAATTTGGGGTGCCTCAGACAGGTCTGATTTTCAGAAGAAGTGCTAAATAGCCACAGGTCCCCTTGACTTCAGCTGCACTTAACAATGTTCCCTTTTGTTTCTGTCATAATGCCTTTGAGAAGCAAAGTTCTATTCCCACTGTGTCCCACTATTCTTCTCCTTATGATAATGTGGTAGTACTTAGCAATTCTCTGAAGGTGGCAGCATTGGCCAGGAACAACAGCATGGGTCTAATGCAGGGGTGGGGAACCTTTTTTGGGACAGGGGCTGCTGACCCACAGGAAAATCAGTCAGGGGCCGCACACAAATGAGAAGCAAAGAAACCCAAACAAATGCTCATTGACGTGGCCCCCGACTGAGAAGCAGAAAGACACTCCCCACATTCCAATCACACACCAGACCTAGGGGGTTCCGAGCTAGTAGATTTTGTGTGCTCCAGCCCTGCGTTGAGGTGGCGGGGGGGCTGGAGTGCCAGCACTGGCTCCCCAATACTGGAGGAGGGTGCTCTGAGACTTGGGGGCTAAATCTAGGGAAGCCGGGGGCCACATCTAGTCCCCGGGCCTCAGGTTCCCTACCCTAGGTCTAATGGGACCCTGGAGTATGTCTGCAGGCCCAAGATGGGGCTGACTAGTGCAGCCAGTACAGTATTAGGCCCCTCTGTGCCAGTACAGTGGTGAATACAGCATGTAGTTGCCTTTCTCAGGCTGCTGGGGATTACATAGGGAGAAGGATCAGGAGTAAAGCTTGGCTTATCATATTAGAAGGAATTACAGCTCTGCCATTTTGGAGCTGCTCAGCATTTCCCACATAAATCCCACTTTATAGAAAAATAAGCTTGGAAAGTTGGTGCAGCTGCAGGCTTTGTCTGTGTTTATTTCCACCCTACTCTAGCCCCTTCCAACTTGCAGGGGCACTGGTCACAACTACTGTCCTTGAAGAAGCAGGCGGCAGCAGGCAGGACTGAGGGAACAAGGGTGTTCACTCTTTTACAGAACTGTTATCTCAGGGGCCTGTCTTTGTGCCACTAATTTCCCTAAATCCCTATGTCACTTTCAAGAACCCCTCTCTCTAAGGCTGCAAGTAGCAGCCTTGTCCATCTCCCCTGCTTCCTTAGGCCCCCAGCCAGTAGCCATCACCATGACTGCACAGTCCCATGGACTTCATTGGGGCACCACAGAGGCATGTCTGCCTATTTGGATCCATTTGCAGATCGGGGTGGGGAGGGTTAGTACTGGTGGATGCTGGTTCTGCCATATGTGGCTATTCACACACCCATATGTGCTCTTGTTTGGAGTCAGTGGTCTCATGAACCATGCTGCTCCCCACTAATTCTGAGTTGAAACCTTCTGTATGTGGGACTCAGGTTGTGGAAAGACCAAGCCTAGAGTGCAGTGCAAGGATCATTAATGCTCTCCTCTTTGCAGTGTTAATGGAGAGGAACCTTGAATGGCTGTGGGGAACAGACACTTCCCAGTGGTCCTTGGTAGAGTTTGTGCCCATTTTGTGCAGGGCCCTGCAGATTAGGAGTGAAACTTTGCAGGTGGTCTGGTTTTCAGTGGGCTGCCAGAGTGAGGAGTTCCCTGAGGGGACCTGTACTCAGGAGGCTGAGTTTTTCCTCTGTAACAGCTACCTGTATCAAAAGCACAGACACGGGGGCAAACGGCTCATAATGGGCAGCAGCTACCACTGCCAGGATTTTAGAGGAGGCTGTATTTGGATCCTAGCAGGGACACAAAAGCGAGAGGAATTGGGATTGATGCATGAAGCACGATTGAGGTAATGTTCATGAGGAGAGGGAAGCACATCGAAAAATCCCCACTACTACTGGAATGCCTCCCTGTATCTCAGCTGGTGGCTCTGAGGATGTCAGATCCATCTCCAGTCTTGGAGTCCTTTTAGAGTCATGGCTGGCACTGTGTAAAAAGCTCTCCTCCACTTCTTCCTGTTCAGGAGACTTCAGCCCACCTGTTGGCCATAAGGACCCACCCATGTATGATCTCTTGGCTTGATTATTGCAACACACGCTATGGGAATTAAACCATTGATCTTAAACTGCCCCAATTGGTGCAAAATGCACCCAGAAGCACACACCACTTAAAAGGCATTAGTGCCCTAGCCCTACCCATTGAATGTTGGGTTTGAGGTTTCAATCCAGCTCATACTACCTAACAGCTCACCTCCTGAGCACCTGGTGGTACTCCGGCCCTCTGGAGAGTGGAGTTGTCACCCCAAGATGACAGCTACAGTCACAGGGGCCAGACTTCTTTCTGCAGCTGTGGCACCCGCTCCTGGAAGGGATCATTAGAACCATCTGATATATTTTGGTGCCTTCTGAGCAGTATGAACTTGGCATCTGCACAAATAAAGGATGATTAAAAAGAGAATCCAAGCAACTGGGACAGAGAAACCAAGACAGACTGTATTTATAATTCTGGGGTGTTCTAAGGCACTCTGGTGCCCTGATGATTGGCACCAATATTGATACCAAGACAGAAAACAAGAACAAGCTCAATCTGTCCAAATTGACTATATAACAACCAAAAAATTTGGGGGAGGGGGAGGGAGGAACTGAGAGCTATGACGGCTGTAAGAATTCAGGAGTTAGTGTCACATAGTGACTGGCCCCCCTGAATAACGTAGGTCCAGTACTCCCATGCCAGTGTGGGTGCTCCATTGGCCAGTTAAGAGGGTGGGGTAGCACCTGGGGGCAGTAATAGAATGGGGGATACCCGGGGACAAGGGGAAACCTGGCAAAAGGTATTTGGCAGGGGGGTGGAGTCTTGGTGAGTCAGAGCAGAGTGGCCCAGTCCAGATGGGCAGGGGAGAGCTCCCAGGGGACTAGAGGAGTCCTGGAAAGAAGCCGAAGGCGTTTCCTGGGCAAAAGCTGAAGTCAGGAGAGCAGAAAGAAGGGTTTGTGGCTGGCATCCCTGAACCAGAGCAGGGCTGCAGTGGAGGAGCTTACTTGTTGGCATCTCTAGAGCTCGAGAGCTGGACCCAGAGGAACCATGAGACAGGCAGAAGAATGCTCCCAGCAGAGAGACTGTGGAGGTTCCTGCTGGGAAGGGGGGAGGAGGGCTTCACTCCAGCTGGAAGGGCTGGAGTGGTTGTCCTGGTACAAGGGCAGGAGAGGACTGCCCTGGAGAGTTGGGATATGGTGAGGGATGCTGGGGCTGTGCTGGAGAACCCTTGTGTAGGGAGGGATTCAAGGGCTGCATGTTGGATTATGCTGGGGAGATCTGTGGGACTTCTGTGATGGTTTCTGTACATGGGACTTGCACAAAAAATGAACCTCAAAGAGGCCGTTTGTACTTGGGAAGACTGGGGACTCAGAAAGAGGTAAACTGAGGCAGGGGCACTTATTGTGTGATGGCCTGCAGCACAGGGCTGCCCTTCTGACAGAAAGGAATTATTTTATTACATCAGTGAAGGCACAACAGAGGTAGGTATCTTCCCTGTGTTAGGCTACTAGTATTTAAAATCCAGTTCTGTATGTACAGCACCATCAGTTTTACCAAAGCTCTTTCCGAAAGACACAATGGAAAAGTTCTACCAATTATAGTCCCAAAACTGGAAATGAGGTGTGCTACCCCCCATGCAGGTTTGGGCTCTTTAACAGGGTAAATAAAGGCATAGCTGGCAGAATGGGGTGAAATAAAGGAAGGCAAACTCCCAGGAGATGCTTCCTGGCGGTGAAATGCATGAGGCTGTGGAACAGTCTCCAAGGGGAAGAAGTGGCAGTGCAACCAACTGGGACTTTTAAAGCTAGACTGGGACAGAGGCTTGGAGAATTGAATGCAGGAACCAGTCCTGTCTGGGCCCTGGAGGAGGAGCTGATGGACTAACAGGATCTTTGTGCTGCTTGTGATTCTCTGTGGAGTGACTGAGGGATTGATTTTCAAACTCTGTGTGTCCAGCGTCACTTGCATTTCTCCTGGTATCAGCCAGCACAGTCTTAGTGCCTCTGCGTCTCCGCCCTCCCCACTCATGGCGCTTACAAGGCCGGCCGCTTGTAATGAACCAGAGAATAGCCATGTTGCTGCCATTGTAGCTGTAGTGGCTGGGTAGGGAGCTGAAGTGGTTGAGCTCTAAAGAAGCTGTGTCAGTGCCCCGTGCTTGCTGTGAGGAATATGGAACACTTTGCTTTTAGCTGGTCTTGGAGACTTAAATATTTGTTCTGTCCCCTTAAAAATAAAAGGCAGCTCAGCAGAGACTTGCTTCCCAGTCTGGCTCCCTCATCCCTCAGGGGCTGATGTGATGTGATGCGACTGCCCGACCTTCCCTCCCAGTCTCATGATTCTGTCTCTTAATCCTCCCAGAGCCATGTGAGCCTGCAGACCAATAGCAGCCTGGGGGTGGGCAGCGGGGAGGCGAGCCGGCTCCAGGCAGAGATGCTTCAGCTGGACCTGATTGATGCTGCCGGGGAGACCTCTGCCGAAGAGGAAACTGCCTCTGAGCCACTCAAGAAAGAGCCCCCGCCTGTAACCATGGACACCTACAGACCCAAACGGCCTACAACTCTCAACCTCTTCCCACAGGTGCCTCGGACCCAGGTAAGCCTGGATTGGAGCCTGCCCGGGGGACGAGGGGCCTAGAATCCGGGGGAGGGGAGGGATGATGGGTGTACTTGAAAATTCCCTCCCTCTTTGCTTCTCCTCTGGGGGTACAGGGAGGAGTCCTAAACTCCCACTGTTCCCAGATGCCAGTCACCTCCTTGGGGCCTCAGGCGAGCTCAGCAGTGCCAATAGCAACAGGGGAGGTGAGAGCTGCTGGGTGGGACTGGACCGAGCTCCAGCCCGTGTAACTCAGCCTCTGGTGTGGGGTGAGGACGGGGTTAATCCCTTTGCCAGAGGGCTTTTGTTTGGGATGACACAGCTCAGCTGGTGAATGGAAGCCGCTGAAATCATGAGTGTGATGTGGAGGCAGATTGGGGAGGAGGATTAAAATCTCCCTTGCTTTGGAGTTGAAGGCATTGAATGGCAGAGGAGACACATGCCCCTCTCCCCTGAGATCACTTATAAACACCCCATCATTAGGTGAGGCTTGGAGGTGTCCTCCCCACGGAGTTTCCCAACCCGATAGTCCAGGGTCACTTTGTCCTGCTGACCCTTAGAAATCATTGTCCGGAGGGTGGGAGGCTGTGATGGGCCTGGTGAGAGCCCAGGGTGGTGACAGAGGTGCTGGTCAGGTAAGGAGAGAAGGAGCAGGAGTACTAGTGTAGTGGGGCAAAGAGTCAGCCTCAGGGTGGGGGCATGGGGAATCTGAGTGGAGGTAGATGGGGATGTAGCCCTGGCAGGTCAGTCTAGTGGTGGAGAAGGGATTGTGGGGTCTGGGGAGGCCGGATCTGAGGTGGAGCAGCTTTGGGAGGCCATAGGGGAGAGCTTCAGTTAATGAAGCATGAAGTGACAAATGTATGAATGAGCCACGGAGCAGCATGTGCTGGACCAGAAGTGAGAGGGGAAGTCAGCCAGGACATGGAAGGCGAAGTAATGGGATGGGTACTAGAGAGATTCAGGCCACAGAAAGGGGATGGATGGTTAGTCGGAGGCTATAGCCTGGCTGTCTCACTTGCTTCCTCTGAGGGAGAGGCAGGTCTCAGCCTGGTCAGGAGATGGATGGGAAAGCTCCAGCGTCTGAACATGCAGGGGCTGCTGCAGGTAGTGCTGGCAGGGGATGCATGCTGACCCCCTGACCCCAGCACAATGCTAGAGGGACCAGTGCTGATGCTCTCTTCTGAGTGAGACAGGAGCCCTGGGTCCTGGTGTGATTCCATTCTGTCTTCCTAAATTTCCCCTGTGGTTTCAACTAGACAGAGTGGCCGTCTTCACGTTTTCTACTAAGCAGCTGTGCAGCATTGCTGTTCCGTCTGTGAGGGGGCTGCATTTCAGTGCTGTGTGCGCGGCTTATGTGCACTGGTAGGAATCCCTTCGCTTGTCTGTCTCCCACAAAGTTGGCAAAGCAGCGCACGGTGCGATACACACACACAAGACTATTTTTATCATTCTCTCTTGTTGAGATGTGGCTTGTCTTGCCAAGTAAGAGGATTTTCATCCTGGTGACGTTGGGCTGAGGCGAATGAAGTGAGAGGCAGGTGTTCCTGTGTGGGACAGATGGGGAGGAGTTGGTGGGCATGGAGCTGGGTTGCATCAGCATAAAATTGAGAGCTGAGCTGATTCAGTGGGAGCTGGGAGCTGATCCAGTGGAGGAACTGAGGAGAGGAGAAGGTGGGAGAGGAGAAGGGGGCCACAGATAGGGCCCCCAGCCATAGGGTGAGATAATTTGGAGCAATCAGTGGTGGCAGACAAGAAGCAGGAAGAGTTGAGACAGCAGGGGACTCAGGAAGGTAGGAGATCTGTGCAGGGCAGAGGATACAGTGTGGACAGAAGTGCTGGAAACTGGGGAGACTAAGTAAGTGGGAGGGAGGCTTGGAGGAAGAGAAAGTTTGACTGCCACAGCAGCTTCCTGCCTTTCTGGAGTGGGAGCAAGTAGCAAACTCTTGGCAGAGAGGAAGGGGAGGTAAGGTTGAGATGGAGCAAGCAGAGGGCCCCAGAGAGGAGTGAGAAGACAAAGTTGGTCTTGGCAGCTCAGGGGCAGGGCTGTGTCCCTGGAGGGCTATGCTCTGCTCTCCTGGGTCATATTCAGCTCCTGTCCTTTGAATCAGGAAGTTTGATCCAGGAAGCAGGTCCCTGGTGAAATTCCAGGACAGTGGCTTTGGAGAGACAAACTTTGGGGCTGTTTGAGGGGGCCGTCTGAGGAGTGAGAAGACAAAGTTGGTCTTGGCAGCTCAGGGGCAGGGCTGTGTCCCTGGAGGGCTATGCTCTGCTCTCCTGGGTCATATTCAGCTCCTGTCCTTTGAATCAGGAAGTTTGATCCAGGAAGCAGGTCCCTGGTGAAATTCCAGGACAGTGGCTTTGGAGAGACAAACTTTGGGGCTGTTTGAGGGGGCCGTCTGATTTTCTGGGCTTGGTGCAGGAGCAGAGTGGGCAGGTGGGAATGTGTGGTGGGAGGAGAGTGGGGATGGGAGGGAGCCTGGCTAGGACTGGGAGTTAGGGAGGTGTGTGCTGTAGGGCAGGGGCTGGCTGGGGGGGAGTGTCCACGTGCTGAATGGCCCTGTCGAGCTGGCTGACCTCACTAGCTGTGGAATCCTTTATGACGCTGTTTCCCCCCATTGTGCTGTAGAATCACCAGGGCTGAGTCATCTCTCCCAGACTGTGGCCCCGGTTATGTTGCTGTTGCCCCTCTTCATCGGCACATCTGGGCAGCTGGGCCTGGCTGTCCCCTAGAGGCTGTGGAGTCTGTACTGTTGAGGGCCGTTGTCACGGGCAGCGGGTATTGTAAGCAGGAGAGGCGCTGCCTTCCCAAACTGCCTCACCTGGCTCTGCCCGTTCTTCGCCGGAGTCCTCCAGACCCACTCCCCAGCCTGCTGGTATGATGCCAGAGTCTGGGGCAGGCAGGTTGGGGGCTGGGACCCCTCTGGCTGGTGCTCGGAGGACCTCCCTTGCTCCCCAGGGGTGCAGGCAGCACGGCCGCAGCCCTGCGCCATGCCCTCTAGCTGGCTCTCCAGACATTCAGACCTGGGGAAGGCTGCAGCTGCGCCACCCGCCAGCTCTCCAGGGCTGGGGAAGGCTGTAGCCGTGTCGCTCACCATTTTGCTGGGGCTGGAGCAGGAAGGGGCAAGGGCCAACAGCCACATTGCGAGGGGTGGGGGCAGGCTGGGCAGGGGCCAGCGGTGGCTACAGTGGGATGCCTGGGCTCTGGAGGGCAGGGCTGGAGGGGGCTTGCTTCCCCAAGCCATGGGGTCACCCCTGGCCTCTGTCCAAGAAGGGCTTTCACACCTGATTGGGGCTTGCCTCCTTGGCTTTTTATTGAGGGAAGACTGTAGCTGGAGCCATCTGGGGCGGGATCTCTGGGGGCTGGAGACCTCTCTGCTTCATTTGCTCTTGTCCAAGGAGCAGTGCCGGCTCTAGACGCAGCTGGCCCCCGTGTCCTCCCGCACCCCTTCAGGGCTGAATGAGGAGAAGGGGGTCTGCAGGCCAGTCAGGTTTCCAGGCTGACTCCTTTCCAAGCAGCTCTGGCTGGCTGTCAAATGAATTGCTCGTGATCCGGTGCACGTGGAGCCACCAGATGGACAGACAAGCGCAGAGCCGAGGTGCCTGGCAGTGACAGCTGGGGCCTGCTGTAATCCTGTCAGGCCCTGAGCCCGCAGAACAAGCTTGAGAGAGTAGGAATCTGAGCTTCACATCCTGGGCAGCGCTGCTGGTGCAGGGCAGCCTGCATAGGATACTGACATGCCGGGCATTGCTGTGCACAGGCTCGTGCTGCTGGCTCCTTGTTGCGGCATAAGGAAAATAAATGCAGAGACAGCACCCTAGTGAAGGGGGGAGGATTAGGGAGTGGAGGAGAAACTGCTGAATGACAGGGGAGCCTTTGTTGTCTGCCTCTAACATCACAGAAACTGCTGCAGGACAGGGGAGTCTTTGTTGTCTGCCTCTAACATCACAGGGCTGTTGGCTGCTGGGTAATACTGTCTCCCAGCTCCTGCTGTCATGTGGAGGGGAGCAAGTGGCAGAGTCCTTGGCGACAGAGGGCAGTGAGAGTCACCGTGGGAAGGAGAGATTTCTTCTTCACTTTCACCTCCTCCTCGGACTTACCATCATAACCTCTATAAGGGGCAGCTGCCAGCCTTCGCCCTGGAAAATAGTGTGGTATCAGATTAGCGACTTTAGTCCATGCTTCGGGCCTTACCCTGCGCTTGGATGGGGCTGGGGGCTGCCTGGATCACTCAGGGACTCAGTGAGTTTGGATTGGATCAGAAATGCAAACCCAGGTTCAGAGTGTGGTTCTGATCTGGAAAGGGAGTAGAAGGTAATTCTGCATTTCAGTCACAGGGTATGAGTGCAGCTCATGTAGACACACCCAAGCTAGTCTTTATCTTAATAGCTCGGACACTAGAGCAGTGAAGCCACGGTAGCGCAGGCTTCAGAGTGGGCTAGTTACCCGAATAACTGTCCGGGTGGCTTGTACGGCCCATGCTGTTGCCTGTGCTGCCGCAGCTTTGCTGGTCTAGGATCTAAGATTGCTCTCCAGGCCCTGCAGTCATACCCTGCAATTGCAGTATAGACCGAATGGCCCTTCCTTTCCCCACACAGCCCTGCTCCCCTGCGCATGTATGTGTATTAGATCCGAGTCACTCACTCCGGTGACTAAGATACATTCCTACTGCTCTTCCCATTCACCCAGCAGAGCCGCCCATCTTCTCCCCATCTCTGTTGTTCGGTTCTGGGGGCAGACCCTGTGTTGAGTTGCTGTGTGAGACGTGAGAGAGTCCTGTTTGGCTCCCCGATGCCCAGGGCAGTCTGTGCCATAGGCAGTGAGGAAGGATGCTGTCCTTTGCAGTCTGAGCCCACGTGATCTGGGGTCGCTACCATGGAATCCTATGATGTTGTTTGTGTAGAGTCGCTCTTGGGAGCCCTTGGAAGCATTACAGTTAAGGGTTGCTGTTTGACGCACAGGGCTTCACAGTGCGGTGGAGAGGGGTCTGCAGGTTCCAGAGAGAGTTGCAGTGAGGATCCAGAAGCCTGCAGGCAAATAGCACCGTTCACAAACTCATGAGCTTAAACTGCAGCAAGGGAGATTTAGGCTAGACATTAGGAAAAACTTCCTGCCTGTCAGGGCGGTTAAACACTGGAATAAGTTGCCTAGGGAGATTGTGGAATCTCCATCACTGGGGATATTTAAGAACAGGTTAGACAGACACCTCTCAGGGATGATCTAGACCATGCTTGGTCCATGAGGGCAGGGGACTGGACTTGATGATCTCTCAAGGTCCCTTCCAGTCCTAGTGTTCTATGATTCGCCTCTGTCCACCCTTCCAGTTCCACGAGACTTTCATCTCTCTTCATTCTCTCCTTGTCATGGGTTTGATTGGTGGGGTCTGCATCACTCCACCTGTAGCCTGGTGTACTTACCCCTCTCTCTGCTTCACCTCACACATTCACTTCTGGTCTTCTCTCCTTTTTTGAGCAGAGCTGATTATTCAATGTGGGAAGGCTCTGACTGTGGCTCATGTTGCAAACAGGGCAGGAGCTGAAACAGGGCTCCCAGTGCTGTGTGTCTACCTCTGGGCCTGCAGTGGATTCTGCTGCTGCTTCAGCTGTTGGCAAAGCTGGGCAAATTCCACCTCTGTTTTTCCCAAAGGGCCTCCCACTCACTACAGTCTCTCTCCAAGGGGGTGCCTCAGAGATGCTAGTGGTCCTCTTGACTTGCCTATGGCTCTCCTTTGCAATGCAGCCCCTGGCCTGGTCATCCACTCCCTGGCTGGTCTTTGTGTATCCTGAGGTGCTGTAGGCATGGGCTTGGTCCTGTCTAAGAAGGAGTTTGTCTGTCCACAGGAGCAGCCCAAGGCTGGCTGCGGCAGCTGGCGCCTCAGGCGGAACGCACGATCAGTGCCCCCGCCTGCACGGCCCTCAACAGAGTGACGTCATCATTGTGCGCCCTGTGACGTCATTACTGGGCACCCTGTTGACGGTGGCGCCCTAGGCGACGGCCGAGTCGGCCTATAGTCACCGGCCACCCCCGTCTGTCCAAAGTCCCCATTACCATAGGATGTGAGCACCCCACGCACTGCAATGTATTTACCACATACAGGGGTAGTGAGGCTACGTTTATACTGCTTTTTTTTTTCCCCAGAAAAAGATACGCAAATTGCGAACCCTTTTCCGCTTGTTTTTTCAGAAGAAGCTTTTCTGACATTTGGCCGGTCTACACTGGGCCAAACATGGGAAAAATCTCTTTCGGAAGATCCCTTATTCCTCATAACATGAGGAATACAGGGCTTCCGAAAGAATGTGCTCGCTTTTTCGGAAACTGTTTTGAAAAAGCAGATGCATTTCCTGGACACGGCAAAGTTTTTCCAGAATAAACTCTGCAGTCTAGACATACCCTGAGAGAGCACTCTTCTCCTTATTGCACATGGGAGGGAGGGAGTGCTAGAGAGGGCATGACTTAGCTGGTGCTATGTAGGAAGCATTTAGAAGAATAACCACTGTGCTGTTCTTCAGAGTTGTTGGGTGAGGCGATAGGAGGAAAGGGCACTGAATGGCATCTCCAAAGGTTTAGCAGCAGCAAGATGAGCAGGATTGTGGTGGAGGGTTGGGAGCTACATTAAATCCCTTCCTTATAGCTGGCTGTAGCTTCCTTTGCTCCCCAGTTGGGGCTGGTGGCGCTAGACTGATGCCCAGCTGTGCAGCTTCCAGAGGCCTCCCCACACAGCCAGGCTCCCACTTCCCTGTTCAAATCCATCAGTGTTCCCTTCCTCCTTTCCCCCACCCCCGCATGAGGAGACTACAGCCAGGATCTGCTCAGAGCCTTCTTTTAGCATCCCACCATTAGAGCAGGGAGGGGGCAAAGTCTCGTTTTCCCACAGGCAGGGCAGGGGCTTAGACCATCTCTGGTTCCATTCCCAGGCATTCCCCACAAACTCAGTTATGGCCCTGGAGGCAGCCTGCAGCTGTGGTTTGGGCAGCTGCCCCCCATTCTCCAAGCTGCTGCTTCCCTCTGGATGGAAATCCTGCCATTGGACGCTCCGGTTCGCTAGAGCACGTGGGGGTGTTCCCATTTACATCGCTCTGTTCTGGGGTGTGGGATAGACTCCCAGAGCTCCCTGGGTATTAATGTCAGTGGCTGGCAGGGCCCTACCTACTAGCTGGCCTAGGCGCCCACACTTCTTCCCCACCATGATCTGCAGTCCTCTCCTCCTTGCTGAGTAGTGGGCACATCTGGGTGTGTGCGGGGCTCCTCAGATCTCCATCTGGTGCCATGTAATGGTTCTCAGTGATGGGGGTGCTTCTGACTCCATCGGTATGGGGGAAGGAGGGTTCCCTGGGGAGGCCTCACTCCAGCCCAACCTCAGATGCAGCTACCTTCAGGCCCGAGAAAATCCAAGGCTCAGGAGAGGGAGGGAGGGAGAGAAATCCAATCTGCTGGCTGCTGGGACCATACACCTGCTTGATCAGACTTGGTGGGGTCATAAGAGTGTCTGGTCATTCCCTTCAAGTCCTTTGTGGCACGCTTTCCATTTCTATGGTAGTAACCTCAATGCATCCTATCCCTGGGCCACTCTGTAAGCTGCCTGCATTCTCCAGGTTGGATTTGCTCCATCGGATCCCCACCACTAGGGGCCTGCACACCCATCGTCCCCTGGCCAGCTCATGGGCTGGTGGAGAGAGGACCGGGAGCTGCCTTCTCCTCTGCAGCCAGGGCTGCCTCTCTGAGCACAGCATGCAGGAGACCTGGCACAGTGGTCACTATGGCAGCCTGGGTGGCTGGAATCCTATTCTGACAAATGACGGGGAGCTGCAGTGAGGCAAATGGGGACACTTAGTTCTTTGCACTGGCAGGAGCAGGGCTTTGGGGGCTGGGCTGCCAGCCTGCACCAGCCCTTCTGGAGGCAGAGGGTCTCCCCCTTCCTGGTCAGAGGGCGGAGACTGGCAATCACTTATACAACATGTGGCCTCTCAGAGGCTCTCCATGCCAAAGGCTCTCTGCACTTCTAAGAGGGAAGAGGTGGTTACCAGGCAGCTCAGACTCAGAGCTAGAAATCCCCTAGCAGATCTGACTCCCTCTCCTGGAGGGAGGCATAGAAGTGCTAGGAGAATAGTAATAGACATGTAGCCGTGTTAGTCTAGTCTAGCTGAAGCAAAAAACAGGACTAACAAGATGGTTTATTAGGTGATGAGCTTTCGTGGGCCAGATCTGAGGAAGTGGGTCTGGCCCACAAAAGCTCATCACCTAATAAACCATCTTGTAAGTCTTTAAAGTGCTACATAGTCCTGTATTTTGTTTAAGTGCTAGGAGGCTCTGTGAACCCTGCTGAAGGTGAAGGAAATCCATAACGCCCCAGAGATGTCAGACACCTGGGCAGGAAACAACTAAGTGTGATTTAGCCTGGGGCAATACAGATCCTGCAGCTGGGGAAAAATAACCCCTAAGCTCAGTACTCAATGGGAGAACCCAGGAAGCAGAGTCCTTTCTCCTGGGCTGAGAGAGGATGGGGACAGGAGTTTACAGTGAGATGACTACAAAACACCAGTGATATTCTGTGCCCAGTGACATGGAAGGGCCTGTACTTCCTGTACACACCCTGGGTCCAGAGATTTTCAGGCCACGGGTTGCCAGATGCAGGACCTGGCCCATGGTGCTCAGTAGCCAGGGAGTTAATATGCCTCTTGCTAGTGGCTCTTGTGTGCTAGAATCCATGAGCTTCTCTGGTAAGAGGAACAGTAAAGATCACAACGGCTATGGCTACCCTGCAATGCTATTTTGGGATACCGGAGCATCCCGAAATAGCTATCCCGCGTCTTCGCAGCAAGCCCGTTATTTTGGGGTCGCAATTCCAACGCTCCTCAAACCTCATTCTACGAGGAGTAAGGGACGTTTTGGAATAGCGCTTTATTTTGAAATTTGGCGCTGGGTCGACCGAACCAAATGCCGAAATAAACTCGTTCGAAATAGCATCAAAATAAGATACGCAATTTGCGTAGCTCAAACCGTGTCTCTTATTTTGCATTCCAGTGCAGTGTGGACGCACCCCAAGCGAGGGTGGGGGCAAGAGATTGTCAGGTGAGAGACCACATGCACAATATGTAGGTGACCAGTCATAGGTGGGTGCAAAGTTTGCTCGAGTTTTTCCTGCAGAAAAAACCCAAACCAAGTGAGTGTCCTCGGGGCTGTGTCCTGAGTGCCACTCTAAGACTGGGGCACAAAAATCCACATCAGGTTCTTGCTCATGGCTTTTTCCATTGCCCAGGTTTTCCCAGCACCAGCTGCAGATGGGATTAGCTTGAGGATCCCCCTGAGCAGGCATATCCCCGATGCACATGGACAATTGCCGGCTGCTGTGGGGGGAGGCTGGGGCAGTGGCATGGCAGGCTGGGGGAGGGACAGGGCGTCTTTGTGCCATGCGCTGTTTACTGTTCCAGCTACAAGGCAGCTTTGTTCTTCTCTTCAGGACACTCTGAATAACAACTCTCTAGGGAAAAAGCACAGTTGGCAGGAGCGGGTGTCCCGGTCGTCATCCCCCCTGAAAACTGGTGAGTCCCAGGCTCTCAGCAGGAGGCTGCTTTTCTCACTCTCTCCGGTTTTCCCCTTCTGTCTCCTGCCAGTTCCTCCAGTGCTTGGATCTCAGAGGAGCAACTGCAGTGCTGCAACCTCCCAGTTCCCTTTCCCTCTGGCCTGTGCCCAGTGAGGTGGGTGCTGCACTTATCCACAGGCTGCTGGCGGCACCTTCAGCCAGCTGGGAGTTGATTCCCCTCCGCCAGACCCCTTTTACTGGGTACCTGTTCCCAGCTGGTAAGGTCCTTCCTTTCCTGGTGTCCTTGGAGGCTGTGGACCATTCCAGCTTGGGTCAGAAGTGAGAGGTGGGTTGTCCTGAGATGTTTCCAGAGCACAAGTAGCTCTGTGAATCTGGGGGTAGCAATCAGGAGGTAGAGCCCAGAGAAAGCTTTCCTGTTCCTACTGCAGCCTATGGATATGCAGCGGAGTAATCTGAACGTTGTCCTGCTGGCATGAGACATCGGCTCAGTCGGGAACTCTGGTCAGGCCCATAACCTCAGTCACAGCCCCTGGGTGGTGGGGTTGGCAGCAGCTGTCATTGCAGATGTTTTGGTTACATCCTCACCGCATATCCCAGAATGTTCCTAGGCTGCTTGTGCTCTGGAGTTGATGTGTGGACGTTGCTCTCTTCCTCTTTCCCACCTTCCAGGTGAACAGACCCCTCCCCATGACCACATTTGCCTAAGTGATGAGGTCAATCACCAAAACAGCACAACCTCCACCAAAGACCGGGGCACGTCCACGGAGAGCCCGTGCCGGCGCACAGCTGCCACGCAAATTGCTCCCGCCTGTGTGGTCTCCTCCCGGGTGCCTGAGAAGAACCAGGCTGCTGGCCGGCTCCCACCCCACAACCCCAGTGTGGTGGTGGTGACAAGGGGGCCGGAGGCCCACCGGGACCGCATCCGCTACCAGACGGACGTGAGGCTAGAGGCCACTGAGGAGATCTACCTGACACCTGTGCAGAAGAACTCAGATCCACTGGAGCCGGAAAAGCCCTTCCTGTCACAGTCCAGCGAGAACCGCATGTCCATCAGTTCTGACATTGACACCTCCAGCTACCCCTCCCTCACAGGGAAGCCCAACCCCTCCATCAGTGAAGAGGACGAGGTGCTGGACTACATGTCCTCGCCCGACAAGATGAGCCTGCCCAGGACCTCATGCAGCAGCAGCAGCAATGGTGGCTACCGGCATGGGCACAACCTTCAGAGGGCGTCGGTGAGCTCAGACACCAGTGCCCTCTCCTATGACTCGGTCAAGTACACACTGGTGGTGGATGAGAACGTGCAGCTGGAGCTGGTCAGCCTGAAGCAGTGCTACTCGGGCTACAGTGACGAGAGCGACTCAGCGACCGTCTACGACAACTGCGTCTCCTCGCCCTATGAGTCGGCCATCGGCGAGGAGTATGAGGAGGACGCGCTAAAGCGTGATTCAGTCTGCCTGTCTGAGGACTCCACCCCTGAGGCTGACATCCACTTCTCCAAGAAGTTCCTCAACGTCTTCATGAGTGGCCGGTCACGTTCTTCTAGTGAGTCCTGTGCCAGCGGATCAGGGAGAGATGGGGCTCGGCATAGATGGGGCGCAGATGGGGTTCCCAGTGTTCTGGGCGGGGGAGAAGAGAAGGGGTGCAGAGGGCTTTGTGATTGTATTGCAAAGTGATCCTGATTCCTTCCCCAACAGCTCTGTGGCTCACGCTGCTGTGTGTCCTGGTTGCTTCTGCCTGGTAACATGTGGGAGTGGAGGTTTCCTGAGGGCATAGGCCCCACATTTTCCTGGCATGATCTCAGATTTCTCTCTTTTTCTCCCAAGGTCAGTGAGGCTCTGGTGACTGCAGAAACTCTTTGGGCAGCAGCTGGTGAGGGCTGGTGTTGACACCTGGAACCAGTGTCACTGCCTTTCTCCAGCCCAGAGTTTAGGGCCAAGTCAAGCCAGGCTCCTCAGCAGGAGGCAGGGACTCGTTCTTTCCCAGGACAGAGGCAATTTTCCTTGGCTGTTAGAGTTCCTTGGGTCCCCAAGGATTTCCAGTCTTCCCTCATGTGGCCTCTAGGCCTCTGAGCCTTGTCCAATAGATCGGTAGCCCTTCTCTGAGAGAGGGTGAATTTGTAACATTTCTGTGCCACACAGCACACATTGTCTGGTCAGCCACAGACCCTCCGCTTTCCTAATTAATGCCCTTCCAACACGGATATAATAACTTCCCTTCTGTCCTGCGTTTTGAGTAGCTATTCAGTCATGCAGTCAAGTCAGAGAAAGGTATTTTAGCTCCTGGACACACATCTGGTGCCATCCGGATCTGCTCTCACGCACTGTAGGAAGTACACACCAGCCAGAAGGCCCAGATCATCTCTGCCCATGTGAATCCAGTGTATTGGATTGCCAACAGTGTAGTTCAAAAATCAGGGATTGTTTTCTTAGTACCCCTGCCCTACTCCTCCCAATATTATTAATACTAAGTATTGAGCAGTACTTGACCTACATTCACCAGGGATATTTCCTGCTGTTTTTCACAGCACTCAGCAACTCCTGATATTGTTGCATAGAGATTAAAAAATTAAGGGCCTTGTAATAAGGACTGTTGACAAACCCAACCCCTTTCAGGCACTGCAGTGTGGGCAAAACCTGATGCCAATGCAGGCCTCCTTTCTCCACCCCAGACCAGCATGTAGCCATCCGTTTCCATGTCAGGGTGTTCTCCTTTCTCTCCTGCAAACTTCTGCAACCTCGTGTTCCAGGATCCACATGTTAGCAACTGCAGGAGCTGTCAGCTTCCTTATTTCTTGCCCTGCCTCCTCTCCCTGAGGGCCTTCCCCTGCTCCACCTTGTCCCTCAAAAGCCCTGCCCCCTGCTCCACCTTGTCCCAATAAGGCCCTTCCCCTTCTATTTCTTCCCCCAATGCCCCGCCCCCTGGTGTCTCCTCTCCCCTCCGCACTCCAGCAAGAGCAGCCCCAAGAGGCTTGCAAACCCCAGCTCCAGCAGGCCCCCTGGAAGTGCAGGGCAGAGAAGCACTGTGGCTGCATGGATATAGCCAGGCAGTCCCATGGGTGAGCTAGGATGCAGCTCTCCTACTAAGATGCAGCCCAGCAGCTACCTTCCCCAGGCCAGGGCTGATGCTTAGGGGCAATTCAAGTTCCTTTCCTCCCAGGGAATGTACCATGCCCACTGGGAACTCTGACCCCACTTGCCAAGGGCCCTCTGCACACACCGTCCTCTGCCACAGCACTGCACGCTATGCTCTGCAAAGCAGCCGCCTGACCCAGTGTACGCTTGCTGCCGCTTCAGGATCAGGCAACTGGCTGTTGCTCCTCCCTCTGCCCATGGTAACTTGTAGTGTCCGGTGCCAATGCCCCTTTTCAACAAGAGTTTCCAATTGAAATGCAGGCACCTGGCAACCTACTGACTGACACATTACCACAGCAACGTCCAGTCTCTCAGTCCAAAACTCCTTTTGTCTTAGGTGGGGCTTGTAATTAACTTATTCTTAATTATGTTAATGTTAATTCAAGTGTGGGCTCACAGTAATTATGAGGCATGTGGGGATTCATCCTGTCATTAGAGCTTCTCCATTTAACAGTGCAAAGCAACAGAAGGAAACCGGGGGAGGGGGAGAGACTGTAATTTGGGAATCCCTCTGTCAAATGACTCCAAATGTGGTTCACTAACACTACCCTGCACCCAAGGAGGCACCCTAAATTTCAAAGCAATGTGACTAATCTTTCAGATGTTAGAGCAGATGTTAGGGTGGAGTTGTAAAGCAACAAACTGGCAGAACTGGAAAGAACCCTAGCTGTTTTTCTGCATTGGCTTATGCAGTGTGTAAAAATGTGCTGTGTCTTGAATACCATTCTTAGTTTGGGTCCCCTATGGATTTAGTGAGCACTATGCAATGTCTTGGAGTGAAACCCAACAGATACTCATTCTGACTTCCAGATATCACATTAGTGATGTGATGTATGCATGCTAAAACAAAAAGCTACTTGCATAGAATCACAGAACTTGATGGGACCTTGAGAAGTCATCGAGTCCAGTCCCCTGCCCTCACGGCAGGAACAAGCACTGTCTAGATCATCCCTGATAGCTGTCTGTCTAACCTGCTCTTAAATATCTCCAGGGTTAGAGATTCCACAGTCTCCCTAGGCAATTTATTCCAGTGTTTAACCACTCTGATAGTTAGGAACTTTTTCCTAATGAACCAATTTTTCTCCCTCCTCTTTGTAACACCCTTTTAGATACTTGAAAACCGCTATCATGTCCCCTCTCGGTCTTCTCTTTTCCAAACTAAACAAGCCCAATTCTTTCAGCCTTCCCTCTTGCTCTAGTTTTCTTAACCTTCAATCATTTTTGTTGTTCTTCTCTGGACCTTCTCCAATTTCTCCACATCTTTCTTGAAATGTGGTGCCCAGAACTGAATTCCAGTTGGAATATTGGAAACAATGCTCCAATTGAGGCCTAACCAGCGCAGAGTAGAGCGGAAGAATGACTTTTCATGTCTTGCTCATAACACTCCTGTTACTTCATCCCAGAATCATGTTTGCTTTTTTTGCAACAGTGTCACACTGTTGACTCATGTTTAACTTGTGGTCCGCTATGACCTCTAAATCTCTTTCTGCAGTACTTCTTCCTGGACAGTCACTTCCCATTCTATATGTGTGAAATTGATTGTTGCTTCCTAAGTGGAGCACTTTGCATTTGTCCTTATTAAACTTCATTCTGTTTACCTCAGGCCATTTCTTCAATTTGTCCCGATCATTTTGAATTATGACCCAATCCTCCAGAGCAGTCGCAACCCCTCCCAGCTTGGTATCATCTGCAAACTTAATCATCTTACTCTGTATGCTCTCATCTAAATCGTTGATGAAGATTTTGAACAGAACCGGTCCCAAAACAATCCCCTGCGGAACCCCACTTATGCCCTTCCAGCATGCTTGTGAACCATCAATAACTACTCTCTAAGAACGGTTATCCAGCCAGTTATGCACCCACCGTATAGTAGCCTTGGTATATTATGCTCCAGTTAGGATCCATCAGCCATGCCTCTCTCCCTGCCCCCCAAAATATCCCTTTGGACTCTTTCAGGTCCGCTTGCCTGTGTCCTCAGGGGCCAGACATCTGTGATTTGTTGCCTGAGGGGAGTGTACCAGGGAAAGTGTGGGGCTGTAAAAGCTCCCCACTGGCCACCAGTCACGTCCCCCTACTTGTTTTTCCCCCCTTAGCCATGCCACTCATATTATTCCCCCCACAGAAATACACCCTGTTTCTGCTATTACCCTGTTTATATCCCCTGCCTCATTGGAGTTCACTGCTGCAATCCCACTCTGAGAAACCACAGATGGTTTACTATAGCGACTTGCAACCAGGAAAGCCACCTATGGTTCTCCAGCTGTCAGAGACGTTAGTGGAGACCGGGTCCATTTGAGGATGTAGGGGTGGGGTGAGGAAAAAGAGAGTTCCCACTTCATTTCTGGCCCTTGTGGTGCCTGAGGTCACACCCTGTAGCCCTCTCCAGCTCTGCTGTCCAGTTCACTGGTCTGGACTCAGCAGTGAGTCTGAATCCAAATGAAGCCAAGCCCGGCTTACGGAGGCCGAACTCTGGTCACATAATTCTCCTGAGAGCTCTGGGCAGACAACTCCTACCAGCCAGGAGTTCATGCATGGCCAGTTCTATAGCGCTCCCCACCTGCCCCATGCATGAGCTACAAAGGGTTTTCCTCCTCCACTTGACAGTCGCTTGATGGCACCTGTGCAAAAGCAGCTCTTGGGCCTCTGTCCTTTAGTACATAAAACAACCAGCTCAGCTGGCTCTGATCTGGCCCCTTGGAGCAGCCCAAGATGGACTGGGCTCAGGAGACTGAACACCCACTGTTGCTCAGAGGAGTTGCTGCAGGACGGGGCTTGGATGTGCTGAGAGGAAGGGCTATGTTGCCTGGGCTGTGCCTCTTTCTAGAAGCCTTTGGGTGCTAGTGCTGTCCATCAAGTGCCTTTCGCAGGTGTCACACTGAAGGGCTTTCTGGAGCTTTATGCCAGGCTGAGTTTTCTGGTCCTCAGCTGGGTGTGAGGAGAGATGCAGTTCTGTCAGATACCCCTCTGCCCCGGCTGGTGCTGACATGCCAGTCCTGAATGCCCCACTGGGGATACCATGTTGTAAGCGAACCCTAAGGTACATGCCAGGGCATGGCTGCTCTCAGAGTGGGTCCTGAGAAGAATCTCCCTCCCTCACTCAGGGAAGCAGATCCCTCTGGAGACTGTAACATGCCCCTTTGCATTCACAGGTGCGGAATCCTTTGGGCTGTTCTCATGTATGATCAATGGGGAGGAGCAGGAGCAGACTCACCGTGCTGTCTTTAGGTGAGTTAGACACACTCTACACCCCAGGCCAGGGAGCCTTTCTTCCCAGAGCACCTCTTCTGCCTTTGGCGGGGGGGGGGGGGAGGGGGGGGGAAGGGGGG